CTCGGCCAATTCATTGTCACTCTTTTAATACTGGATCAGAACCAGAGTTCTTCTATGAGTTTGTATTGCTACTGAATACAGCCAGATTTATACACAGAAGAGAGTTTGGTTATTTTTGTTTTGGCTTAAAAAAAATAAGCAAAAAGGAAAACTTAGGGCAAAAAGAAAAAAATGTTGGTAGTGCTGTTTGCATACACATTCCCTTTAAAATGCAGGTCTGAAGGGGGGTGTCGGCTCCCCTACCTCCCTGTGGTCCTTGCAGCACCCCCTTCCCAGCCAACATGGCCGCTGCTGTTACAGGAAAACCTGTTACACTGGCTCTACTTTCACTTGAGTTCTTTGCTCGTTTTTCCCAAGATCCATTTCCAGAAAGTCCTCGGGTATGTCTTGTAACGCCTTCCCCCGTTGGGGCTCAGCCTGCGCTTCTTCTGAGTGCCCACGCTGGCACAGTCCCCTTTTGCATGGTCTCACCAGGGCGAGGCACACTGCAGCCACGGACATGCCTGCTGCACAGGAGTAGAAGGCCCTGCTGTAGATCTTGCTCTGGTCCACCATCAGACCTGCAAGAGAGAGCGGCACTGTGACGCCGTGCACCTCCACCCAGACGCCCAGACACGCTAGAAACTTCTCAGTACCTCCCTTCCTCTCCCCCACCCCAATCATTGATTGGTGCATTGTAGCTGCATGTAATGATGGGATCTGTTGTTAGATTATCTGCTCGTGCACACACTATTCTTTTGGTTTTTTTCTAATGCTGGATTGGAGGGGAAAAAACAAATGGAACCCACGGCACACTTAGCACCTGAAAATACAAATTGCTAAGCTGTTCGTCATGGGCTCCGTCTGTCCCAGTAGAGAGTCTAAATCGTGGGGACAGGTACGTGCGTGTCTCTTTGAGAAAGTGATAATGTCGGAAAGAGCTGCATTGTTTTTACTGGCATTCCCTTTCGTACCTTTCAACAGGGCAAGATTTCTAATCATGACAATTTTAAGGACACATCACATCAGATTTAAGATATGAACTGGATGTGTAACCTCCTGCAGGGGTACTCCGCCCTGATCGCTCAGGTGTGTGCAGAGTGTTGCAATGTGCTCAGTTCCCAGACCCTGGCAGCTCCAACCTTCAACAAAAGTATCCCAGTGGAAGTAGATTTTAAAGTTACGATTTGAACAGGAAGCTCACAACCAACCAGGGGGAGGTAGACCAGGGTGTGTGCCCTGGGTGTAAGTTACCTGCCAGGGGTGGACCTGCCAGCCCTGCGATGCTCTGGATGAAGACATAGACGCCGGCGGCAGAAGAGATCTTCTCAATCCCTACCACGTCATCTTCGGCGAGCATCGGAATGTGGGTCCCCCCTATAGTTCCAACCATGAACCCAAAAAATATGCTACAGGACATGAGGCCCCAGAATTCAGTAGCAAAGGTGAAGGCGAACAGGGACATGGTCAGCAGGATGACGCAGATGAGCTCAATGTAGATCTTGCGGATGGGCTCTCGGTTGAGGGCAAACCCGGCTCCGATCCGACCAAAAACTTCAGCAATCGCCATTGTCGATAATAAAAACGCCGCACGATCTGGGTCAATGCCCAGGCTGATGCCCAAAGGAATGATGTACAGGGAAGGGGCGAAGAACCCCAGGGTGGCAAAGAGACCGAATAACGCGTAACAGATAAAACTCTTCTCTTTCAAAATCGAGAAGTCCAACAGCGGGGCTTTCTGGTCCCCTGGCTTGGAGCCAGCCTTCACCAGGGTCTGCTGCAGGTCAGTCCTGGGTTCCAGTTCTGGGTTCGTGTGACTAGGCACATTTTTGGGTGAGGTAGTTAGTTCTACTCCTGAGTCAATGGAGTCTATTGAGGTTCTGGTTTTCTCGTTTTCAAGCATATATTGCACTTCTTTCCGGCTTTCGTGGGTGACTGTTTTCGGTGACACTGGCCTTCTGATGATGATGGGTCTCAGCAGTGCCCCGCAGACGATGATGTTCAGCTGCAGGAGGCCCACGAACAGGAGGCTGTGTCTCCAGCCGATGTGCTCCTTGAGAGCCGTGATGGCTTCGGAGGCAGCAGCGAAGAGAGGAGAGAAAACCCGAGGTCAGTGAGGGGCTCCAGACCCAGGAGATCACGGACACGGACTAGGATTTGGTTTGTTTAATGAATCAATAAGGAGAATGTGCATCATAATTCTTACGTATAAAAATGTTCAGCCCAGGCTCCAGATGATCTTTGGAAGGTGCCGTTTTCTAGGGAGATGCGAGAAGTGAAATAAGGACCCTCCTCCCCCCAAAATAGAGCTCATACCTGGCACCCTATCCTATCTGGTCATAATGTAAGGAAATTAGAAATCAATGGTAAAATAAAAAATAGAAGCTCTGCTAACACCCAGAGACTAAATAATACTCTATTGAATGACTCACAGAGAGTAGAAATCAGGAATGAAATAAAAAAAAAAAATACTTAGGGGTAAATGAGAATAGCGATATAACATCAAAATCTCTAGGACAGTCTAAGAGGCAGTGCTAAGAGGAAAACTCGCTGCATTCATTAAAACGATAGAAAGTCAACAAACAAATAACCTAACATTACATCTCAAAGCCCTAAAAAAAGAAGAACAAATCAACACCAAAAGCAGAATATGGGAAGTAATTAAAATCAGAGCTGAAATCAATGAAATTGAAACAAAGGAAACAATAAAACAAACCCCAACAAAACAAAAAGTTTGTTCTTTGGAAAAAAAATTGATAAAAATGGATAGTCCTTTAGCCAAGCTAACAAAGAAAAAGAAAACTTAAAATTACTAAAATTTGTGATGAAAAGGAAATATCACAGGGGGTACTACTGAAATACAAATAATCAGAACCTATTTTGAAAATTTATAAAAAATCTTGACGATACTGACAAATTTCTAGAGACACATGACCCAAATTAAATCAGGAGGACATAGAAAATTTCAACAGATAAGTTTCAATTGATGAAACTGAAGACACCATCAAAAGCCTACCAAGAAAGAAAAGCCCAGGACCAGACGGATTCTCAGCCGAGTTCTACCAGACCTTCAAAGAAGAATTAACGCAAACCCTAACCCTCAAATTATTCCATGAATGAGAAAAAGAAGGAAACCTTCCAAACCCATTCTGTGAAAGTAGTATCACCCTGAATCAATAAGAAACCAGACAAAGACATCAAGGAAAGAAAAATTCAGACCAATATCCCTGATGAACATAGATGCAAAATTCTCAATAAAATACAAATCGCATATAAAAAACATTAAAAAGATAGTGCACCATAGTGCAAGGTTGGTTCACATACAGAAATCAATAAATGTAATTCATCACATCAATAGACCTAAGGAATCACATGATTATTTCAACAGATGCAGAAAAAGCATTTGACAAAATATCCATTCATATTCAAAAGACTAGAAAAACTAGGGATAGTAGGAACACACCTCACCATTGTAAATGCTATATATGCTAAACCCAAGGCCAACATCATTCTACCGAGAGAAATTGAAAGCATTCCCTCTAAAAACTGGAACAAGACAGGGATTGCCTCTTGCAGCACTTCTATTCAACATAGTCCTGGAAACTCTAGCCTGAGCAAATAGAGAAAGAAATTAGCAGGGTACAAATAGGAAAAGAATTCAAACTACCCCTATTTGCTGACGACATGATTCTATATTTAGAAGACCCAAAAACTCCACTAGAAAACTTCTAGAAATCATAAATGAATTCAGCAAAGTAGCAGGATACAAAATTAACACCCATAAATCAATTGCATTCCTATATAACAGTGATGAATTAACTGAAAGAGAAGTTAGAAAACTATCCCATTCACGAAGGCCTCAAAGAAAGTAAAATATTTGGGACTAAATCTAACAAAAGAGGTGAAAGACCTCTACAATGAAAACTACAGAACACTGAAGAAGGAAATTGAAGAAACCTTAGAAGATGGAAAGATCTCCCTTGTTCTTGGATAGGCAGAATTAATATTGTCAAAATGGCCACATTACCAAAAGTATTATACAGATTTTAATGCAATTCCTATTAAAATTCCAAAATGATGTTCTTCATAGAAATAGAAAAAGCAGTCATGAAATTCATTTGGAAAAATAAGAGGCCCCGAATAGCTAAAGCAATCCTCAGTGAAAAAAGAAAAATAGGAGGCATCATGAAACCAGACCTTAAATTATACTACAGAGCTAGAGGGACTTATGTATAAACATCCATTCACCATGGTATTGGCACCAAAACAGACATGAAGACCAATGGAACAGAACAGAAGACACAGAGAGAAACCCACATAAATACAGTTATCCTATACTAGGCAAAGGTGCCTTAAACACATATTGGAGAAGACAACCTCTTCAACACACGGTGCTGGGAAAATTGGAAATCCATATGTAATAAAATTAAATTAGGCCCACATCTCTCAGCACAAAACTCAACACAACGTAGATCAAGGACCTAGGCATTGGACCACAGACCCTCGGCCTATTAGAAGAAAAAGTAGGACCAAATCTCTTGTTGTGTCGGCTCAGGAACCAAATTCTTCCTGAAGTGTAAGAAGTAAAACCAAGAATCAATAAATAGAATTGTATCAAACTAAAAGCTTCTTCACAGCAAAAGAAACAATCAAGAGTAGGAAGAGAGAGCCTACAGAATGGGAGAAAAATCTTTGCCACCTGCACCTCAGACATAACATTAATCTCCAGGTTATGTAAAGAAGTCAAGGGGCTGGGGTTGTGGCTCAGTGGTAGAGCACTTGCCTGGCATGTGCAGGGCCCTGGGTTTGATCTCAGCACCACATAAAAATAAATAAAATAAAGGTATTTTGTCCGACCACAACTAAAAAATAATTAAAAAAAAAAAACTCAAAAAATTTCAACCAAACAGATAACTCAATCAACAAATGGGCAAAGGAAATGAACAGACACTTCAAGAAATATGATGAATGGTCAACAAATATATGACAACGTCACTAGCAGTAGAGAAATGCAAATTGAAACTACACTGAGATTTCATCTCACTTCAGTCAGAATGGCAATTATCAAGAATACAAGTAACAATGTTGACAGGGATGTGAGGAAAAGGTTCACTCATACACTGCCGGTGGGACTGCAAATTGGGGTAACACTCTGGAAAGCAGTATGGAGAGTCCCCAGAAAACTTGGAATGGAGCTACTATTTGACCCAGTGATCCCACTCTATGGCATATACCCAAAGGACTTAAAATCAGTCACATCAATGTTTATAGCAGCTCAATTCACAATAGCTAAGCTGTGGGAACAACCTAGGAGTTCTTCAATGGTTGAATGGATAAAGAAAATGTAGTACATATACACAATGGAATCTTACTCAGCCATAAAGAAGAATGCAATTATGGCACTTGCCAGTAAAGGGATGGAACTGGATAATATCTTGCTAAATGAAATAAGCGAATCCCCCCCAAAAAAACAAAGGCTGAATGTTCCCTCTGATATGTGAATGGTGACTTACACTGGGGACAGTGGAGTGGAGGTTCACCAGGAGTGGACAGGGGAGAACGAGGAGGTGGGGAAGAGAGGGAGGACAGAATGGGAGAAAGGATGGGGGATGGGAATGGGAAAGACAGAATGAACTGGACATAACTTTCTATGTTTGAATGTGAACACACAACCAGTGTGGCTCCCCATCATGTACAACCACAAGAACGGGAAGTTACACTCCATGTATGGATGATATGTCAAAACACATTCTAGGAGTTGTGGCAGAGACTGTATAATCCACAAAGCCTAAACAATTTATTCTCTGGCCTCTTACAAACAGAATTCACCAATCATGGAGCTGTATCCTTGCACATCCACTCATTCAATCCTTAGGAGTAATGGATTAAATAAAAAATAAATTGGGTGTGGTGGTGCACGCCTGTAATCCGCAGGAGGCTGAGGCAGGAGGATGGCAAGCTTGAAGCCAGCCTCAGCAACTCAGTGAGGTCCTAAACAACTCAGTGAGACCCTGTCTCAAAATCAAAAAATAAAAAGGGCCGGGATGTGGCCTTTATCTCAGACCTATGTTCCTCCCATTAACAGGGAAGGCTTAGACTTGCCAAGGAGCATTGAGCTTTGAGCTCTGTCCCCATCTGGCAATAACTGGTCCAATTTCCCTTTCTCCGTGCACCATTTCTTGAGCGCCCACAAAGGGCCAGGGACGTGCCCAGTACCAGGACACAAGGCTGAGCAGGACTGTCTCCACCCTCAGACACTCAAAGTCCACTGATGGTTTCTCTCCTCAACATTTTATTTGGAAAATTTCTAAACCGACAGCAAAGTGGAAAACCAATACTGCTGTGGCCCCCCTAGTTAACGCGCCTCTCGCTCTCTGGACCTGTGAGAGCACACATGCAGTCAACTCTTAGAACCATCTGGAAGCTCCAGCATTAGGACATGTCACTCCTAAAGGCTCCTGCCTGTGTCTCCTACCCGCCAAGTGCAGTCCGCGGGCAGGATCGTCACGAACTGGGAAAGGACGAATCCTGGGCTCCACAGTTACCTGCCCACTGCTTTAGTTTTGTTGTAATTCACATGTGGACATTGAATTAGGGAAACAAAGGGTAATATTTTTGCTGTGAGATTATCTATATACACATAAAATGGACTTCACTAGCATGACTTCAATCCACATTTGAAAAGTAACAAACAAAATATACAAATCATGAAATTATTTTGGAATGATTTTGCGTATTTCAAGAAAAAGCCTTATCGTGGAATGCGAGCTTCCTACTGACATAGATTCTCTCTGTCCTGATATTCAGAGTGGCTTCCCCCTTCCACGAGACAGCTGCTGTCACCTACCTGGAGCAAAAGCAAACACGGCAAAACATTCTCCTGTAGAAGCGACAGCAGTGACTACTGAGCGTCTTTTGTCAAAGTATTGTGACAGAATGGTGACGGTGGGCAGAAAGCTAAAGCAGTAGCCCAGACCTGTGAGGGAGAGAAGAAGCCGTGAGAGCCACGCACTGAGGAATCCTGAAGGATATGACCAGAGACAGAGGGCTCCGCGGGGTGTGATGGTGCACGCCTGTAAACGGGCACCTCGGGAGGCCGAGACAGGAGATCACATGTCAAGGCCAGCCTCAGCAACTGTCTCCAAGTAAAAAGGGCTGGGGATGTAACTCAGAGGTACAGTGCCCCTCGGTTCAATCCCCAGTACTGGGGGAGGGGGTTGGGGGGTTAGGGAGGGTGGGAAGGAAGAAAAGATTGAGGGTTTCTGTGTGCAGGTTTTTAGAATAAGAAGTGTTCTGCGAGCCCTGTAATTCATCCTGGAGAAAGGTATCATAGCAAAGAAAAGTGGGTTTATTAAAAGTTGAGAGAAGCTGGGTGCATTGGGCATTGGCACATTCTGTAATCCTAAGTACTTGGGAGGGTGAGGCAGGAAAGTTGCCAAATTTGAGGTCAGCCTGGGCAAGTCAGTGAGATCCTATCTCAGACAACATAGAGGGCTGTCGATGCAGCTCCGTGGCATGCACAAGGCTCTGAGTGTGATCCCAGCACTGGAAAATTAATAAGGTTATTAATAAATTAATAAAGCTGTTCATAGTTGTTTGGGGAAGTTAGGAGCAATAAAAACTAGGATTTATATTGGGAAATAAATATGTCTTTTGGCAGGGGTAAGCATGAAACCACGGAAGTGTGCAGATTTAGCTAGCCACCTCCGATCAGTCAGGAGCAAGGTCTGCACTCCTTCTGGAAGTCTTGGGTTGTGAAATGACGTCTTGGTTGCACACTAGAGCAAAAGAGCAGCTGATCTTCATCACTGGTAAATATTAAAAGAAGAAGAAACAAAACCTCTGGGGCACTTGAGAATCAGCTTCCCCGCCCCTGCAGTCTCCACGGGGGTGGGAAACTTCAACACCCCTGATCCCAACTGTTAGCCGGGGGACACTCACCCGAGATGAGCCCGATGGTGATGTACATGTGGTAAACCTTCTGGGAGAAGGAGGCGGCCACCATCCCGGTGCTGACCAGCAGCCCTCCCACCATCACTACCAGCCGGTGTCCAAAGCGGTTGCTCAGGATGGTGGACAGGGGAGCTGCAGGAAAGGGACAACAACATCAGAATGACCCCAAATGACCCCTTTATTCCTGGAGGCTGGAATGTTGGCTCCAGGGAGATTCCTCCCCCGGCCCCCCAGTTTTGAACAGGGAGCGAGGATGTGAAACACACACTACATTTCATGTGGTGGCGACTGAGGTCAGTTCAAAAATTATTTTAGAATTTGTTCAAATGAAACAAAATTCTCTGGGCTCTTTAAAGAGAAATCCAAGGTATAGCCGGGCGTGGGCGTGCACACCTGTGATCCCAGTTACTCAGGAGGCTGAGGCAGGAGGATCGCACATTGGAGGACAGCCCGGGCAACTAAGACACTGTCTCAATAAACAAACAAATAAACAGATAAATAATAAGTAAATAGGGTTGGGGATATAGCTCAGTGGTAGAGCACCCCTGGATTCAACCCCCAGTGCCAAAAAAAAGTAAACGGCCGAGAGATTGGGGGTGTAGCCCTGGGGCAGAGAGCTTGCCTTGCATGCGTGGGGCCCTGTGTTTGATCCTCAGCACAGAATAACAGGGTAAAATTTATATCTCTATCTTTTTAGATTATATCTCTATTTTTAGATATTTAAAATTTATATCTATATTTTTAGATCTGGCCTACCATGAGCATCTCCAAAATTAAATCTGCATTTATGTTATTGTATTATAAAAACTGTGGCTTCCCCTCGCTGGTTAAGGTGACACATGCCTGTGGTCTCAGCAAAACTTTGTCACTGAGGCAGGAGGAACACAAGTTTGAGGCCAGCAGGGTCCCAAAATAAAGTAAATAAAAGGGGCTGGGCTTGTAGCTCTGCTATAACAAAACAAAACAAAAAGCAGACACCTGCTTTTGCTGTGATTGCTTGGATCATTCCCCCCCTCCACTCAGGGCCCAGGTGGAAAGGGCCAGCAATGGGGCAGGTGACTCCAGGGTGGCTGATGGACCCAGGTGCTCAGCTCCACAGGCTTTCTCCCCTGGGACCCTGCAGTTCAGCAGATGAGTTTCCTGGTTCCATGCGACTTAATATTGCCTCGAGTACAGTGAGACAGGTGAACGTTCGAGAGCCTGGTCAAAGAGGAACGGGCCCAACAGAAAGGTGGGGGAAAAGGGACTCGGTTTCGTTGGGCTTAGTCCTGTGTGTCTATCGTTAGGTGTTAACATGCAAATTAATATTGAACAGAGCTAATGATGAAATCCCTGCCATCATTTTGAGCCGGTATGTTCTCTCAAAGTCTTAACAGCTGGAATAATGTCTAGAATGACTTTCTGGTATCGTCGTATTGACTGGAGTTGACTGCATTGTTAGCTTTGCCTATTAAAGAGCTCAGATTTAAGCATTTATGTTTTCATTTTCTTTAGATTATCAAAATGTAAAATTCTGGTTCTCATTTATTTAAATTATCTTCCTCAGTAAGTGAGCATTCCACAGTTTGGAAAGGAAGTCTTAATAATTAAAATGAGCTGGGGACGTAGCTTAGTTGGTAGAGTGCTTGTCTCGCATGCACAAGGCCCTGGACTCAACCCCTAGTCATTGCAATGATAATATTATAATAAAAATAAAAATGAAAGTAGGATCTAGTTTAATCAGACTTATAAATAAGAGACGGTATGAAGACCAGCAAGAGAGATTCCTGCTCTCTCCAGATGGTAAAGACCCACAAGGCAGCCTTTTAAGACACTATATGGGTAAAACCGAACGACAGTTAAAAGGCTTAACTTCAGTGATCATAATGGTTGAATGAAAGGACATCAGGGTGAAGTCGTGCGTAAGGCTGGCCTGGCTGGCTCTCCGACAGGAGCCCTACCCTGCGGCTCTGCGCTCTCAGGAAAGCCTCAGCATTGCCTCTGATGGACAGATGAGCGCAGCAGCCCTAGCAGGTAAGTTCAAGGAGGCCACGCAGGACCTGGTGAAGAGCAGTCTGTTAACGATGATCCTAAAACCCCATTTATTTTATGCTGTTGGGTCTGGGACTACTATTCAAGGATGATTCGGTAAGGCCCTTTAGGGAGTCAGGCATTTGGAATTCAGCGTTCTTTAGGACACTGTAATCTTACAGGGGTTCCTCGGTAGCCGTAGGGGATGATTTTAGGACCCGTCCACAACCCCAGGACACCAAAATCCAGGGATACTCCAGTCCCTTACATAAAAATGGCAGGATATTTACCTAGGCATATATTCTCCTGACTTGAAATCACCTCTAGATTACTTATGTTACCTGATACAATGTAGGTAACACACAAATAGTTGTCATACTGTATCTGAATAGAAGTCAGGGCAGGCTTACAGCAGGCACCACCATGGCAGGCCTAAGGCCTGGTGCTGCAGGTTGCAAAACACCATTTTCAATCTGCAATTGCTTGAATCTGTGGGAGAGGAACCCCTGCACAGGGAGGGCCCACTGTATACCTTTTTACCCCTCCCCCACCTCTCTTCTGCACGTAGCCACATGTATATGTTTCCCGCCTGTTTTCAAAGCATGTTTTCTATGAGACCAGGGCTTTGAATGTCAGGTATCTGGGATGGCTCTTCTTAGACAATGACTGTGCATATCTTCATAGAACTGGTTTCGCTGCTATCCTCAAGGGCACTCCTGAATCCTTAAGCTATGAGGAAGGCTTTCTTCGAATGCCTCTTGTTTCTTGCCAATCCCGGCCCTCTGAAAACTATCACTCAATTGAAACCAGAAAGGGCCCAGGGGATCTCGACGACAGGACCTCACCAACACACCTGCTCCCATCACATCGTCAGGCAGATTGAAAGGGGCGGGTGCTTACGTCGTGGCCGGGCCGAAAGACATACTGACCTGTAAACGTCAAGACGAAGACACATATCGACACTATCCATGAGATCGTGCTGTTGGATTCATCAAAACTGTTCATTAAGTCATTAAAGAAGACTCCGAAGGTCTTGATGATGCCATAGGAAAAGACTTCCACGAAGAAAAAAGAAACAGCTACCGCCCAGCCCCATCCTCCGTCAGGCACTTGAGTGTACACATTGGCTCTGGAACAAAGCTTTGATTTCATCTGGGTCATTCTTAACCTGAAATAAAAAAAAAAGAAATTTAGATCAGCAATAGCAGGAGGGCTGATCTTGAGCAAATGATAGGAGACACCACACTTCTGAGGTTGTTGGAGATGTAAATTGTGCAGTTTGCATCATCTTTAGACAATTTTATATCTATTTGTCTGCCCACCTATCTTTGAATTATACATGGGAATCACAAACAACCTGGAAATGAGATGTCCCTGTGACACTTAGACTGGAAAAACAAGGACGTCAGAACAGAACATAAATGTTTTGGTACCCGGGACTGAACCCAGGGGCACTTTACCACTGAACTATATTCCCAGGCATTTTTTTTTTTTTTAATTGAGACAGGGTCTCGATAATTTGCTGAGGCTGGACTCCAAATTGTGATCCTCCTGCCTCCTGAGTTGTGATGGCTCCTGAGCTGCTGGGATGACAGGTGTGCAGCACTGTGCCTAGTAAAGCAGAACACCGAGAGGCACAGAATGGCCCCAGTACGAATGCTAACCTTAAAGACAAGTGAGGCAAAGACAGGCTGAACTGGCCCTAAAGAATGCTGATTAGAAATTAAGCCTAGAAGCTAGGCATAGTGGTGTACATCTATAACTTGCCCACTTGAGGTGGCTGAGGCAGGAGGATTGCAAATTTGAGGCCAGCCTGGGCAACTCGGTGAGACTGTCTCAAAATAAAAGGGCGGAGGATACTGCCTCAATAAAAAGGCTGAGGATTGAAATTTAAATTAAAAGGCTGAGGACTGAACCTAGAGCACCCTGGGTTCAGTCCCTAGTACTGCAAAATCAAAAAACTAAGAAGTGAACCTTCAACAGGAAGCTGAAGGGGCAACACTGACAGTTCATCTGGCACCTTCCACAAGACAATGGCTCGAGACACTGTATGTGTCCTGCTGGATGCCACAGGCCATTGGGATCATCCAAGTCTTCTTGCTCCCATTTTGCACTCACTAAGCAACATTCAGATTCTGATTTGGCTCCCATGTAGCTGTACCTGTGTGGTCAGAACCTACCTATGGGCCAAACTATGGAAATCCTGTCTTCTGACAGTTTGTTCTGCGTTCTTTCCTTAAAGGTGATCACTACTTGGTGTATTAGCTACTCAGTTTCAGAGCACATGACAAGTCCTCGAGAATGCAGTGACTAATTAACCTATCTGGGCAATGCCCTGTCTGGGCACCAGCTACCCCTGACCTCCCTATGCCTTTCCATTCAAACTGCAACAAACACTGGTCGAGCAGACCTGAGCCGTAACACCACAAAGAGGTGATACTGTTCATTGTGGGAGGAGGTAGATTTAACCTGAGTCTTCTTGAGTGGACTCTAGCACGTGAATTCTGCAAAGTCTTTGAAGTTACGTTTACTTTCAAGCAATGATATATTTCATACATGTTATATATTTTATATATGTATATTTTTTAGCTCAACTAAAAATTAATGATATCTACAATAATAAAGAACCCAGGGTTGTAAGAGTTCTTAACGGCCACCAACCTCAAGTTTGAGAATTCTTTTCAATTAATTATAGAGCTATGAACAGGAAAGGTCTTCCCGGTTATGCAGGCAACTGAAAAATAACAGGATATAAGCTCGGCTGTGCAGTAGGCTTGCGATGCCCGGTCATAAGATCTAATAATCTTGACTTCACAAATCTGAAACAGCAAGCTGGGGCGCAGGGGTGCACACCTGTCATCCCAGCTACCCAGGAGTCTTGAGTCAGGAGGACTTCAAGTTCGAGGTCAGCCTCAGCAAGTTAGCAAGATCCTATTTCAAAATAAAATATTACAAAATGGGGGACTGGGGACGTGGCTCAGGGTAGAACGCCCCTGGGTTCAGTCGCCGGGACTGCAGAAATCAGTCATCTGCACGAAAAACCCGACCGACCTTCACATCTCCATTCGCTTAGCAGCCTGGTCCTTGGCAAGGACCCAGTGCCCACTCTTTGCACTCTGGTACTGTTAAAATACTTGGACGTGTGAAATAGGGCGGAAGATGCTTCAAGAAGCCTGTGCTCTCGGCAGCAAAGGCCCGTGTGGGCACACTGTGTCATGCCTGAGGGCAAATGGAAAGGTGGCCGGGCGGTGAGAGTGCTCCAGATGCAGGCTGACCGCTAGCGTCACAGCTCCGTCTCCCACACAGGAAGCAACTGACCTAAGTGGGCCGGAGCCCTCCAGCAAAGGGCTTTCACAACAGCCCGCCCTGGCTAGCCTTTCCAGAGGAGGCTGCTGGGGCAGAGGAGTGACAACAGCCCTGGGGAGGGCGTGCTGGGGAAGGGGAGGGCGGTGGGGGGCCTGAGGCAGGCAAGACCTTGGCCTTGGTCCCATGCACAGGGCCGCAGGTTTGAACTTTCCCCTGTGAAGCCCACGGCTCCTTTAATAGCCTCTAAAGTGGCTCCTCGAGTCTGTCTGGTGCGATGGACCTTTGGAAATATTGCATCATCGGGCCATTTTTTTTTCCTGCTGTTTTTCCAATGGCTTTCTTTTTGCTGGAGGATGAGACCCTCTCATTAGGTGGATGGTCAATAACCCTTGCCATGGGATCCCAACCTGTCTTGGGAGCTGAGTTTCTTCTGGTTCCAAGACTCGACTCACCTGCCAGGGTTAAAACGGGCTCCTCGTGGCCCTGGGGTCTGCAGCCACCCATCCTGTGGCCATCCAGCCTCCTCTCCCCCTAAGGCTTCCTCTGACCAGCCACCTCCAGGGGCGCCTTCTTCACAGGACAGGTGTCTTGGAGGGATGGGGCTATCACTTACTTTTAGGTATTGATCTTACTTCCTCCATTAAATCGTAAGCTCACAAAATCCAGTGCTCCGCTCTCTGCTACCCTGCTCCCGACCTACGCAGCTTTGATTTTAACAACCAAGTACCTATTATTAGGTGCCAAAGTCTTTTGCTTTCACTGTGAGAACGCCACAGTGAAAAGACGGACAGATGGTTTCTGCCTCCATGGACTAAAATATTTATTGATAATGACACGAAACCTTGAGAATGAAATGCTCTCTAGTTAAAAACCATTCAGCCACATCTTTCTAGAGTTCAGCCTGTTTCCTTGTCAGGACCATGTGGCTACAAAATCCAAGGTCATGTTGGCATGGTTGGGTTCCAGATTCTAATCTTTTTTTTTGTTTGTTTTTCTTTTGGTACTAGGGATTGAACCCAGGGATACTCCATTACTGAGCCACATCTCCAGCCCTTTTAATTCTGAGACAGGGCCTTGCTAAGTTGCTGAAGCTAACCTTGAACTTGCAATCCTCCTGCCTCAGCCTTCCACGTTGCTGGAATTACAGTTGTGGGCCACTACACCACGTGTCTTACAGTTTTAATGGAGAGCTCAGGATCAATTTGAACAAAAACACTGGGAACTGGGCATACTGGTGAACACCTATGATCCCAGCAACTTGGGAGGCTGAGGCAGGAGGATCATAAGTTCAAGGCCAGCCTCAGCAACTTAGTGAGGCCCTAAGCAATATAGCAAGACCCTGTCTCAAAATAAAAAATGAAAAGGACTGGAGATATGGCTTAGTGGTTAAGCACCCCTGGGTTCAATTGCCAGTATTCCACTACACATGCAAAAAAATTACAGCATGTTGAAGCTAAAGGGAATTTGGAGCTCATCTTTGTACTGTCTAACTCATTTTGAAAATTCAGAGAACCAAGCCCTGGAGAAGTGAAAGGACTTGATCAAAATGGTCCAGAATCAAATCTCCTGACCTCCCCAGGGATTCTGCTATCTTACAAAGCAGCATTTTTGAGCTTTAAAAGTTGAAGCTGGGGCTGGGGCTCAGTGGTAGTGCTCTTGCCTGGTATGTGTGAGGCACTGGGTTCCGTTCTCAGCTCCACATATGAATAAATAAAATAAAGGTCTATCAACAACTAGAAAAAAAAAAAGTTGAAACTTTTGCATTTAGCAACTAAGTTCTAGTAACCAACTGATTTCTCAGGCCAAACCTGGTGCATGGCCCAAACACAAACTGAGCTAAGAGGGAAGAGCAAATGCTAGATGGTTATTGCAAACATCAGTGGGCACTGGTTATATCTGATCTATGAGAGCTGCTTAGCAGACACTGAACTTTTGACTTCTGTTTACCTTCAGGACTCAGTTCCTTTATTATTATTATTTTTTTAAACTCTTGCCTTACGTTTGTGCTACTCTTTTGTGGCTAGATTCAAATATAACCTTCAAGCTGCTTGTGGTGGTGCACACCTGTGATCCCAGTGACTCAGGAGGCTGAGGCAGGAGGATTGCAAGTTCACAGTGATTTAGCTGGACCCTGTCTCTAAAACCAAAAAAATAACAAGGACTGGGGATGCGGCTCAGTGATAAAAGCATCCCTGGGCTCAGTTTCCACTGCTCGACCAAACCAAACTCCACAATCAAATATAAGTTTCACCTACATTCTTGGGTTCTTGGAGGACACAGGTTTCCTTTCTTATTAATGGGATCATTATAAAGATAAGAAGGCACCCTGAACCTACTCCTACTCCAAAAGTTTATGGCTTTACCATCTGAAAGCATCCTATGTCCTATTATGTCTAGCTTTGAAGGTAAGACCACAGCATCACCTAATAACAGAATAACCTGGTTTTGAAAACTTACTAGGTGATAATGCCTGCATTTTGCACACAGCAGGCACTTGCAAGGTAATCAGCTTGCTCTTTCTAATTCCAGTGCCCCACACATCATTTGGTATATAATAGGTGCTCACTAAACATTTACTAAACAAAATGCAACGCCTCCTTATAAAACTGAGTCACGTATGAAAAAGTGCCCGATTACAGAATAAACTCGTAGACTCTTCTCCTTCTTTCTTCCATTCATTTCAGCTAAAGGCTTACTGGCTTTACAAGTTGTCTCTGCCTCTGCCAATGAAGAACTGAGGCCTAAATTTTGAGCTCAGTTACTTGGAAGCCTCTGTGAATTCTAGAACATGAAAGTTTCCTGTCTGGTTTTGTGGTTTACCCCACGGGAAGGAATACTAGGTGGCTTCCTATGGATATAAGTGGCAAGGCAAGCTGAGTGGACCACTTCTTGATTTTCAGTGTCCAATAGGTAAAGGAAGAAACTGAACTAGATGTTGATCTCAGATCTCTTCCTGTCCTAAGAAAAGGCAGTTCTGATAGCCTCTGACCCCAGCTTACCTTCCATCCTTCCCAAGTCCTTTGAAGGCAAGGCCCAGGGGTTTATCTTTTTTCAAGCCTTCAGGCAGTAGGTGAATACCTGTTAATCTTTAATTGGCTGAAATCACTTCACCCCTAAATTTCATCATCTGTAAAAGCAGACTAGGCAAGTCTCTGGCATTTTCTAGCAGTAAAGTCTACAATTCTAAGTGCAGGTTCCCAGAAGTTAACTTTCCTGTACCCCAATGTTCTTCTGAAGGAATCAGAATAACGAAATGTACTAAGCAGTTTGGAATATTTCCTGGTAGTTGGCTATCTACCCTCGGTAACTTAGCAAGACCTTGTCTCAAAAAGAGAAAGAAAAAGAAAGAAAAGTAGGGGGGGGAAAAAGGTGTCCCCTTAAGTCAATGGGTATTGAGGCTGGGTGTGGCGGAGCATTCCTGTAATCTCAACTGCTCAGGAATCTGAGGCAGGAGAATTGCAAGTTCAAAGCCAGCCTCAACAGCTTAGAGAGGCCCTAAGCAACTTAGGGAGATCCTGTCTCAAATGTTTTAAAAATAATAATAAAAAAATGGGCTGGAATAGGGCTGTGGTTAAGTGCCCTTGGGTTCAATCTCTAATACTAATAAATAAAAAGGTTGGGCATGGGGCACATACTGTGATCCCAGGGACTTGAGAGGCTGAGGGAGGAGGATCGAAAAGTTTAAATCAACTTAGTTCGGCCCTAATCAACTTAGCGAGATCCTATCTCAAAATAAAAAATAAAAATCACTGAGGTTGTGATTCAGTGGTTAAGCCCTCCTTGGGTTCAATTCCAGGTACCAAAATAAGTAAGTAAGTAAGTAAATAAATAAAAAAAATTCAAGAATGAAAAAATAAATCAATAAATGAGTATTCTGCTAAGGCTTGGAAATCTGATCTACTTGGGATCTTCACTGTGATTTAATTGGCTGAGAAAAGATTTGACCTAAGGGCATCATATTGGATTATAGACCTTCTGAGTGCTAGTTGAGGGTCAGTTCAGAGAAGAGTTCAAAATGCAGGCTCTTTAGATGGAAGCAGGACGGCTGCTGTGCATGTAGGCAGAGCTTGAGCAAATGCATGGGGACCCTCCAGTGTTTTTAAAGACCAGCCTGGAGAAGAGCTTTTGACCAAGTGTCTCAGGCCCCAGTTGTCCAAACCCATCTGTATCTGGATGAAGCTGGTTTGAATTCTCTATCTGAAAAAAGCCCCAGACCTAACCTGGAGGGCTGCCTCAGCAGCGTTGAATCATTGGATACAACCAATTCGCCCATTTTGCAAGACCATGATGTTGAAACCGGAGCCCCTAATTTAAGTGTCCTCCTCAGGAGTTCCACTGAGGAAAGTCCTGTTTTGGAAACCACAGGAGGAAAACTCAGGGTTACTGTACTCATTAAGATAGGAGTTTTTCCACTTGGCTGCATTGTTTATTTACATACTGTCAGTTTCTATCTTGGACAGCCTTCCCTTAATTACACGAAGAGGTGTTTCTACTGTGTTCATCTGCAGGAT